TTTCTTTTTTTCTTTCATCTCCGTCTCTTTTCTTCTTTATTTCTTTTCTTTATTTTCAATTATATTCCTTCATTTTTATTTTTTTATTTTGAGCCAGCGCTGCTGTCTTCCTTGTCAATTCTAGACAGACGAAAAAGCCCCCATCTGCTTCTCGTTTTATCTGTGGGAGTTGAATGCAAAATTAAAAAATATATTTCCCTTTTTTAGGGTTTAGGGTTTAGGGTTTAGGGTTTAAGCGTTTGTAGCTGCATCTGAGTCTACTTATATATTCTTTTTCTTTATATTATCTTTCTTTTTTTCTTAATTTTATTATTTTCTGATTCACAACGGAGGAGAATGGAGGCCCCTGATCTTTCACAAATAGACGATGAGGAGGTCTTGACCCTTGTGTTGCTCGACTCAACACATCCCCAGGTAATTAAGAATAATATTTATTATTATATAAAATAATAAAAGTAATAATATAGAATATATAATATAATAATATATATGATATTCATGCATGAGCTGACTCTGCTGAATTTCCTTCTCTTTACCCNATATATAATATAATAATATATATGATATTCATGCATGAGCTGACTCTGCTGAATTTCCTTCTCTTTACCCTCTCCCTCTACAGTATATCCTAAAGCTTATACTAAACCCTGAGAACGGCCTCATGCAGTATTTTTGCAAACATAATAAATATATTTTCAAATAAGCGAATGAAATTTAGACTCTCTATCCCCCTTCATTCATTACTTGGCGTTCTGTTGCAGATCGTGGCTACTGCGACTGAGACAAAAAACACCCTCTTAGTGTCAGCAAATCAGGTGCGTTTAAGCTTCATTTACAACACACATGAAAATATATTTGTTTTTTTATTTGTAGTTAATGTTATATTATTCAACGCTATTAAAAATGTTTGTTTCACTTATGTAGTGCTGGCGGCTTGAGATGCTTGCCCTGTGCATCTTAGAAAATAAAAAAAAAAGCTGCAACGCGATTTGAAACACATGTATACGCCGAATAATTTATTTGTTTTATTTTTGTTGAGCATTTGTTNCTGCAACGCGATTTGAAACACATGTATACGCCGAATAATTTATTTGTTTTATTTTTGTTGAGCATTTGTTTGTATTTGCGTGTGGGTTTCTTTATATTTATCATGTGTTTCTCTGTTCTCTTTCACCGTTCAGGTCTTGAAATGGCTGGAGGAGAGAAAAGATGCTTTCGCTCGTTTCACAGAGCCAACAGAAGGAGAAAAGAAACTCGAGGGAGGAATCAGCAGAGACGATGTTGACAAACTGCTGAAGAGGATGAAGGGCGTCGTTGATGCGTCTCTTAAGCGCACATTTGAACTGGTGAAACAACAGAAACACCCCCTGAAAGGGATCTCATACAATCTAGGTTTCTGTAGTATACAGCATAAATTCATGCATATTATATATATTAAATATACTATACCACTTCAATACTCCTTTTCATAATGATATACAGATCAGATCATTGTTTCGTTTCTATCCTTATAGAGAAACGCGATGATAGAAAAGCAAAACTAACGGCGACGGAATTCTGTCGGGGCAATGGCTTTATAAGTCCATCAAGAATTTTCTTTTCTTTTTTTTTTGGTTTTCTTTCGCTGCAGGATGGCATCTCCTTTCAAGCAATGAACCCAATTTGGGGAACAGAGAAGAGCGTCCGTCAGTCAAGGAAATTTCTCGTTCAGTTGCTCGAGGTATATTATTATATTCAGACTTATTGTTCTTTGTTTAAAGATAAACACCAAACGCACATTCTAATTCAAACGTTTATATCGCAGAAGAACACAACACACATATAAACGGCCTTCACCAGACTTAGTGCTTACAGCAGCTGACCGACGGCTGCTTGTTGGTTTCCTCTCTCGCCTGCATTTATTTATGAAATCCTGCACGAAAATTTTGAATTAGAGGCGAGAAACTCCATTGCAGAATACGCTAGAAGGTGGGCCCTGCGCTGCTGCAGTTTGTCGTCTTTCTTTGGGTGTTTTCTTTTTCAGAAAATAACGAGCAGGGGAGAGGCGGTAATCCTCTTTCTTTCTTCAGTCTTGGCGAAACTGCCCCCTCCCCCTCCTCCCCCAGCGCCGCCTGAGCCGTTAAAGCCTCCAAAAGAAACAAATTCTACCGAGGGAAAGTCGCCAGAGGTTGGAAGAGGCAGAGGCAGAGGGCTGCACCCACCGGGGGCTGGCAGGTATGCTAAGACGTTTGCATCTCGTTCCCTGTTGTCGGGGTTTGAGTTCCTGTGCATCAACAGAAATGTCATTTTCTCGTGAAGATGACGTTCTTTTCACGTTGCTGCGCTTAATTTTGCGCCGGAATACCTTTTACAACGCCTTTTTCGCCCAGTCTATAAGAACGAGTTTACTTTTTCTTTCGCAGTTTTCTCATTTTTTTCTCTTAATGGTGCATTATACTGCTTAATTCGCATGCATTGTACGCGTTTTCTTGTGTGGGCGTCGCCGGCTGCGCTGCAGGGGCCGAGGAGTGCCTCTGGCCAGGGGTTCTGGCGTCGGCATTTCGCCTTTGTTTTCTAGCCCTGATGTCGAAGGCGGTGTATCTCCACCGGGTAAAGAAGGCGGGGGAGACGAAGGAAGCAGACAGCAGCGGAAACACGAGCGGGACGACAGCCCCGATGATGGCACCCAAAGACGATGGAAAAAGAAACCACCATCAAATGTTGATTGGATGCTCAAATGCAAAACTAAACTTTTCGAGTTGAAAGAGCGCACTGCCAAGAAAGCTATCTCAGATGTTTTCCTCACAGAAAGGGTCCGAAAAGTGGACAATAGTAGCATAGTGAATGCCTTCATAAACACTCAGGATATTACAGAATCACTGCTGTTATTGAATGCCTTTATGCATGCGCAGTATACAACAGAATATCTTCTGTTATTTTTAATGCTTAATAAGCACAAAATATATTAGAGAGTTGCTGCTGTTGTTCAGTGCTTTCACATACCCCATATATACTACAGAAGTGCGGCTGCTGCAGTGGCTCTGCATCTATGCATTGTCGCACCATGTTTCTAAGTTTATTTGTATTTGCCTACGCAGAGGATATTCGCAGATAATTGGATTCAATATATATCTGCGAGAAGCTGTATCGAATTCGTTTATGTTCATATACCCTTCTACCTGCATCTACCCGCACAAGTGTCTTTGATCTTTTCTTCAGTCGCTGCAGGAGACAATTTCCTTTATTGATCATAATGCAACAAAACTGGAAGCCGTTGCAGCAAAGAGCGCGTCAGACTTCGCCGCGGAAGAGTGAGATCCCCCCACTAGCTAAAATAACTATACTACTTATATATTTTCAAAAAATACTCCTTTTACATATATATTAAAAGCCTTGGATTCTGAATCTTTTTCTTTCAAGCCCTCGAATACTGCATTTTAAATTAGTTAATCGCCTTCGGTTTCTGCGATTTTTGCCTGCAGTCGCCGCGTGTTCATGCAGAGCATCGAGTCGTATATCTACGGGCTGGAGAGGGTAAGTATATGAATTGGGGGGGTAGTTTGCCAATGAAATTCCTCTCTGCTGGAGTCCTTTTAATATAATTGAATAAAATAATCAATAACATTCAACTTTACTTTGTACGGTGGACAGATGGTACCTTTTGCTTAAGCTGAAACCTCCTCAGAGCTCACAGCCACTCTCTGCTTGCTTGCTGTGGCAATGAGTTTTATTTACTGCTTGTTTCAAATGCATGAAAACTTCTCAGTTATTTCTTAGTAGTTTCTCCGTAGCGTTTGCTTCTCCTTCTTATGTTGTAAGTTTCATCTTTCTGCGGAGTTGATGCAGGCGCTGATGCTACTCGCGAAGGAAACGTTAAACAAACGCCAGTTAATGGGCCTCTTCGACAGCGCCGTGAAGGTTGAGCGGCTGACGACGCCATCTGAACTGCTGACAGAAATGTAAGGGGACGACGTCTCCCTCTTTTGTGTTCCTGTAGTGCTAGTTAGATAGTTCGCTATGCTCTCATACGCCAGCAAGCACTGCATATTGTTTTGTTCTCTCTCTGGATCTGTTTAGTTCACTGAATGCTGCAACGGATAGCTGTGTGTGCAATATGTGCGGCAGGAGGAGCATTACTTCCCTTCTGAACACTTTCGCATATATGCCTAAAATGGACGACGACGACTAAACTGGATCTAACTTTTTCTTTTCTTTTTCCTTCAATTGATACTGGCACTGTGGCCTGTGGTACCCTTTGTTATTCTTATNAACTTTTTCTTTTCTTTTTCCTTCAATTGATACTGGCACTGTGGCCTGTGGTACCCTTTGTTATTCTTATGGATGTAACGTAACATCATGAATGGCACGCAGGGACAACGAACAGTAATAGACGCCTTGAGAAAATAGCCAGGTTGACGCTTACTTAGGTCAGAACAGAAATCCTCTCGGTACAGAAATTACCCCGAGATGGGCCGTTTTACTCTAGGCACCCAACAGAACAAATACGGAAATAACGTATGACAGTTTAGCTGTTAAGAGGAGCAGATAAGCGGTGTGCAGCGCCCTGCTGCCCCATCCCCCCTCTGTCGTTGCCCTCACTCGGGCGGCCACAAGCCTTTATTTATGTGCCATAGCGTTTCCTGTTGAAAGGAGGAAGCGAAGAAGAATTGTTTTGTGTGCCGGTGTTCAACACCTCCAGCAAAATTAGGGCGCGATTGCACGGCTCGCTTGAGCATGGGAGCATTTGGGTTGCTGTGGGTGCATCGCACTTCTCGAGTGCAAAGCCAACGAAGCCTTTGTTGTCGCTCTGAAGAAGCAGCCGCGCTGTATGGGCGATACTATTAAATATTCGCTTTCTGCTGCTGCCCTCTGCGGGGGCATCCCTGTCGCCTCCTCTCTGGTAACTGACTGGCGAATCGCCTGGCGTTGTAGCGGTGGAACGAGTGCTGTCGGTGCCGCCTGGGGTGGCGCCGCAGGGGAGAGAGGCTTGAGAGCCCCAGGGGGAGCTCGAATCCTCCTGATTCTCAAGCCGAGATAGAGAAGCAGGAAGCACACGAGGCACACAGAAAGGCGCCGCATACACCGGAGCTGCCGAAATCACGATGGGCCGCGGACCCCTCAGCCTCTTCAGTTGACGGGGAAACGACCGCTGCAACGAACACAACAAACACAAATGCATCTATACGTGTATAAACACACACACACACATATATATATATATATATATATATATATATATATATATATATATATATATATAT